GTATGTTTCGGTGCCGAAACTGGATGAGAGTGATCCCAGTGTTTTACATGGTCATTTCTGTCTTAGTACGTAATCGTGAAGAAAATACTTCCTCCGGACGCCGCATATAGCGCTGAAGTTCAAACATTTGAACATCGCATCCGTGGTAACAAATTAAGTTATATATAGTTATCCGTGGTAAACAATTAGGTTATATTAGGACTGAGCAAGGATGCGACAATATTATAATACAGTACATAATTTCTCTCTACAAAACCACTTTAAATTACAATTCAACACATCACAACGCTCTTAGGGAACTACAAAATGAACATATCGCTCCACACGCATAACAAATCAGAGAAAGTCCCGTAAAGTGCCGCCAGGAGCGCGGTAGTCAAACTGGATGAAATCTGTACCGAAAATCTGTCGTTTTTTCGTACTAATTATTACATCCGGTCTGGTCTTTATCTTTTCTGTACCGGCGAAAAATGATGGAAAAAATAATCGTGAAAAAACAGACTTAAAAGGAGGGAAAACAAATTTTCAAGTACGTACTGTACATTATACTTGTTACCATGCTCATTATTGGTCATTTGTCTACCTTTTGACAATCTGAATGAATAATCTATTCTCTTGCAGTTTTCTCTGAATGACGAAGAGAATCTGAAAATGTGGGTTATTGCTGTGAAGAGAAGGATTTTCTTCCTACCAGGAGCACCCGAACTTGCAGTGATCATTTTAAAGAAGATGACTTTATGTAGGCCCAATAATAATGTACCACAACTGAAGAGTGCAGAGTGTAATTTAGGGTTAGATAGCATGGCTATTAGCAAAGATGTGTGGGTTATTGTGTAATAAATTTGCTGTAGGAGGTTCTGAAGTTTCTGCTACTGAGGCATTGCTGTTGATGCTGGTTTCATTGACAAGCAAGAGGAAGTGGCCAATTGGGTATTTTTTGCAAACAAGCCGAATGCAGTGGTTGAAACTGAACTAGTGAAAACTGCTCTGATCGTGAGCTTTGAGGTTGGTGTAAAAATAAGAGGTGTGACATATGATGGCACACGCACAAATTTACAAACAATGATTGCACTTGGTTGTGATATTTATATATTACTACTCGAATTGAGATTCCCACCTGCTTCTTGCCTGTTTCTAATATGGCAACCAACTTCACCTGATCCAAAACTTTGACTGGAAGAGTTAGCAATCAAGATCTTTGGGTTTCATGCAGGCAATTGAAGAGAACTTTACAGAGACTTGCTGTTATGTTTGTACGGTGTATGTGAGTGACTATACTACTCTTTGAATAAGATTGCTTGTTTACTAATTGCTGTACATCTGCTGCTTGGGCTATGTTTCTGTTAGTTGCAGTCGTTTTCTACTATTTATTGTTGTAATGGCACAATGAACAAAAATTTTCAAAAAAGTTAAAAAGACAAGTGAAAACGTCAAAATTATTATGTTACTTCAAAGTCTGCAAAAACAAGAGTGAATACTGATTCAACAACACTGTCGTTGCATACAGGCATAAAGTGGGTGAGCAGACAGCATGTAGCTGTAAAGAACAACATTTGGTCTTGAGTTGCTAAAATTGAACCGTGTATGTTCTGTTTGTGGACAATCTGGTCTCAAAATTGTTGATGATAGAGAGAGACGTAGTATTGTACATACACTGTATTTTATCTGTGACAGTTATTATATATTTCTCAAGACATCTGCTGTTACAAATAAATCTTTAGAAGCAAATTTTAAATTTATGGACTAAGGTGTATTGGTGCTGGTCGTGAAGGGGTAAAGTTGTTATGTGGAATGATGCCTCCACCTTCTATCAGATTTAGTGAAATGAACTTTTGAACTTTAGACAATATGTCAGATGCATGAAATGAGTCTGTAAATAAAATGGGAATTGTGACAGAGTGACAATAAGTGGATGACAAGGGAACACACTTTTTTTGCATGGTATAAGCACTGTAATAAGTGTTGCAGTATGTGTTTTTTTCAGAAGAAAGCTGAAGATCAGAAAGTAAAAGAAGTGGCAAGAAGAGCATAAGAAAGAGTGTATTAAAATCATTCAGGACCTAGTTGTCGAATGGAAGCAGTAGGCATGAAGGAAATATTTCATCTTTCAGTGACAAGTTTGAGTGCTTTCAAGACTTTTCTTGATAGACTTGTGGTTCAATGGCGAAGTTGCTTGCCTTTCTCCATTGAGGTTGCGGATTCGATTCTCGTAGAATCTTCGTAGAACCTCGTGTGAAATTTGTTACAACCAAACTAGTTTGCATGCTTCAAAGGGGCTAGTTCAATCCCTGTGAAGTGTCCTAAACCTTACCCCAATCCTAATTCCGTCCTCTTGACAGCTGACTGCGACAAGACATGACGTATGACATTGAAATATTAAGGGAGGATTACTCCGAAGCCTAAGTCATGGAGATGAATGAGCTATAACAAAATTACAATGTGTTGGAATGTGTAAAAATTGACTCTCCCCCCAAAAATTGACAGTTTACAGGTTTATTATGGGAAAGCTATAAGGGAAAATACTAACAATTTAGAAGAAATGAAGATGACAGTGTGGGCTACATTTTTTCTCACTCTTCCTCAACAGATGAAAACTCACAACATGGATTGTGCCCTGACCAGTGGTGCAAATATAAACTTGGTCAGAAATCTGGATAACAGTATAACAATAAAATTGTTTGTCTAGTGCGGTTATGGCCACAATAAAACCTGTGATTTGTTATCTTGCTCATCCTGAGTTATTAAAAAAAGTATTTGCAAGGCACGTCACAAAGTCCTTATGACAGCTTCCATAATTTAATTTGGTAGAGATGTCCAAAAACACAATTTGGTGCACACAGTCATTATAATGGATATATTCGATGCAGCAATTGTGTTCAATAATGGTAACTAGGGAGATGGGAAGTGATAAAACAACTTTGATTTAATTCAGAGGTATTTCGTATAACTGTATTAACTAACATTGACAAGCATCCAGATGCCACAGTAGAAAAAAATATTTAAAAATGCAGGGGAATAGAAAAATACTTTAGTTTGACTTAGAAGACGATACATTTTATAGTTTGGAGGATTTTAAAAATTAGATTGTTTTATTCCAGTTATATTGTTGAATGATTCGTGTTATGGCGTTTTTTCAAATATTCATTTTCTTGACAATGTTCCACTTTTTTTCAAAACTACAAATGATATAACTGATTTTTTGCTGAAAAACAAAAATACTATAATAAATATTTGGTGGAACAGAATTTTTGTTTTTCATCATGTTTACAGGTTATGGTTGAAGAACCATGCAATATTGTGTGTTTTATAGATGAAATTCATTATTTACTGAAAATTAGATTTTTTAAATTTATATAATTTGTTCCAGCAATATGTTTTGAAAGTATTCTGTGAGGCATCCTGTAAATTTCTTGAAAAAAGTCATTGAATTGTCAAGAATAGGTACATTAAATTGAATAAGCATATATTTTTATTTTTCAAAAAAATGAAACAATTTTTTTGTTGAAAATTTGGAAAGTTAATTTTCAAATCTGTTCTACTCTAAGTTACCCCACCTCATATCAAAAAGTTACTTTAAAAAATGTTCCGTCAGAAGCATTTTAAACAAATGAATGCATTTATACCTACATCTCCCCTTCATAGCTACAATCTATTATCTCAGCAAAATAAAAAGGAGAAAGTTAAAATTCTTATATAACTAAATTTACCTTCATCCATAAAACTTACCTTTATCAACATTTCCCCTTATTTACTTCTAATATTAAAACTATTCTCAAATCATATTTTACAAGAAAAGTTAAATGTGATCATAATTAGCTTTTAGTTTTCTTTCAATCTGTAGTTCTTTAGAAATTACAAAAAACGTGGTGACTTCAATATTTTACTTCTGATGATATAAAACTTCCCAGTAATAATTTATGATATTCCAACATCATTCTCAAATGAGGAAATGTATGGACTTTCTAATAAGCAAGAAAGAAATGTGGGATGAACGATTTATGAGCTGATGCGACAGAGCAAGTTTTATGCTCGCTGGACAGAGCTATTGGGGTTGTAAACCTGGGAAGGCAGGGAGCGAGAAAGAAGGGACAGTAGATAGATGTGACACAGGTGCATGTGGTGATGTGTCATTCTCACACGTGTCTGTTGTTTGGTGTACACCTTTGAGTTTTAAATAAACAACATTTTGATTTTATATGCGTTTCTAAATAAACGTAATCCCACAGAAATAGGAATTCATGTTGTAAAAATAAGATACTGATAAAGGTGGAGACACATTTAAATTAAATAAGCCTTTTGATATAATAATAATAAAATTATGAAATAAACCATCTTACCCCGAACAATGCTTAAATTTTTAACACACCCAGGAAAACTTCATTATATGTAACAAACCTCAACACTGTCCTCCCTCAATGAGTTACGTAACTGTCAAAAATTGTACTGCAATTTGTGGATGAAATTCTCTTTTTTAAACCTAATTTTTTTTACAATAAAAATAAATTATAAAAACTAATAAAAAATTTGTAATTCAACATCATATTCTCTTCAATCTCATCCTTATCCTTCAAAAACACCAACTAAGAATGAATTGTCTCAATAACCATTGAGTTTTAAAAAGATTGAGAAATATTCTTTCTCAATAGAAATACTAACTTGTTTGAAAATAAATATTTCATCTTATCATTGAAAACGCCAGTTTACTTAAATAATTACAGAACATAATCTAAAATCATTAAGGAACTTAAGGCAATAATTCCTCAAATCCAGCAAATATTACAATATCTTTTGACTTATTTTTGCCATAAAACAGATAGTATGTGTATGTGATGTTATGCACCTTGATAACTTACAAAACAGTAAATAATTTAAAAATTGTAATTTTAATGTGAAATGCCAATAGTTTACCCAACTAATCTGCTTCTCGTAAGCACAACTTGTCTTTCCAAAGATATTATACATCCCCTGAGACAATCCTACAAGTATTATACATCCCCTGAGACAAGAGTACAGTATCTCAAGTACTTTATGTTATACTTCGCATTACATTCTTGTTCATTGTCTCAGAGAATATACTATAACTTGCATTATCACAAATTATCATACAGTTGGATTGTTTTCAGTAGATAGTTGATGTCTTCCCTCCGAAAATAACAAATTGAAGCTTCACTTGCAACTTAGGAAGATGCAGAAAAGATGATCTCGATCACTTCGCCATGGATGTAAGCTCACGATCAAATTTCGCGCGCTTTCGTGCTCCGTACCTGCTAACCAATCAGAGTGGCCCGGTGCTTAATGAAAGTGCAATTTGCTTGTATGGGGTCACCGTGATCACGTCACCAGGTCGGCTCTGCTATAGCGCTCTCGGGCGGTCAGAAGGTTCACCCAGAGGCCCATACTACATAGGCCTTGACGGATGCAGTTCCGCCCCCCGTCAAGTTTTATTGCGTTTGCCTTTATGGGGCCAGTATTGTGTATTGATCCTATAAGGGACTCATGTGTACGACTGTAGGGCCAGTGTAGTGAAGCAGCATGACACGCCGCCGCGGAGGTGGAAGTGCACAACGCACAGGAAGTAGTGAAGAGATTTCGGCCCTGGCGTCTGAGCCCTCAGCTTCGGCACCACCTCCAAGAGAGACCTCTGACCAGACCTCACAGGTATAGTGATTAGTAGAAGGCGGATTTATATGCGCTTAAAATCGTCTAAACATGCATACATTTATGACCTAAAATCAGTGAAGCATGCAGCAGAAACCTGGCAAATGCCCAAGAAATGAGGATGCCACATCAATTTTATTACTTCAAATTTACCTATTTGAATTATTTCTATTCATTCACTGTTGATTTACTTACACGTATTGTGATTATTCAACCAATTGTTCCAAACATCTTCACAGACGCGTCTTTCAGGGCCCCACCACCCTGTAGCGTCCTGCCGCGAAACGTACTCCCAAATTGAACCCCGAGTTTCATTTTTCTTTGGTCTGTCCTATTGACTTAATTTAATATATCTATTTTCTCTCACTTGCACCACTTCTATAATTTATTTAACAGCGCATATTGCAACAAAACATGTTCTATTCAGTTAGCACGTCAACTATCAATTTATGTTAAAACCTTTGAATGTAAGTAATATTTCAGAATCATTCCTGCTGTGTCATAGCACCTCCCAATCACCATCTCTATTAGAAACACTTTTTGCTTTGCATTTATACAATTTTTTTTTATTTATTAAAACTAGGGCTTTTTTGGAATATTCTTTTATTTCTCGTTATTTGGAAGAGAGTGGTTTAATTTACAAAACTTACTGGTTTTAATTTACGACGAATTGCTTTTGTCACAAAGAACAAGAGCATGATTTGTACAGTTGTGTAAAACTAATCACATGCGTAGTTCTGAATCTCGAGCAGAATAAATAAAATTTAGTCCTCATTTTATAATAAGAGTCATTCAAAATCAACCTCAGGTTTGCTATTAACACTTGAAAATATGGAGAAAATAAAGAAAGACAATTAATGCAACCTCCTATACCACATTTTTGAAATTTAATTTGCTTGAAGCTACAGGATTATAGTTACAAAATTCAAGTATGTTCATATTCATCTACATTCCTGAATGTTTCTGTAATACGAGAATTAGCCTTTACCAAACTGTAAATAAAGGTCTAATACCAATGAACTGCAGCACACACTATTTTAGATTACAAAAAAGCACCGGGTAAAATGCACAGTAGTGGGAAACTTTAGACCAGAGGTTACCCAATAGTTATTGGAGCGATAAAGAATGTGAAAAGAGAAACAGTTCCACAAATACAGGAGTTGGGATAGGGATTTCTGACATCTGCCTGATCTTAAAGTACTGAGGATGTACTATCTCTAAATAAAGATCATGATATGAAAGAAAAACTTGTAAAATTCTCAACGTTTGTGGAACAATTGATAAGCAGCTGAGAAACTGAACACAAAAAAGATATACCTCTTCTGTACAGCAGACACACCAACATTTGCCAGAGAAACCTGGATTGTTACAAAAAAAAATTCCCAAGCAGCCGAAATGAAACTTCTCTAAACGGATTTCTTGCTAGTTAACAAGAAAAATTCTAATATAAGAGCTACTAATGTAAAAGAATCGGATGAAAACTTTCTTGCAAATGAAACAATTGTACAATCATGAAAAAATAACACCAGATAACAGGCTTCTATTCTTGGCTATTAACTACAGAACACAAAGATGGGACATTGGTAGACCAAGAAAAATGGTTGCTGGTACAGATTACACGACTTAAACCTCAATAGGGAATAGATGACATTCACAGATTTTGGAATAGTACAGACTTTGTTAAAATATGCCAAATTAAATTTTTATGCATCTCAGAATTGTACGAGTTTGCAATACGATGGAACCTAATTTTTATATACATACGAACACAACCCTTGATAAATACACACACATTGTTTTCAGGAAACATTTTCTAGTAGTGTTCCTTCAATTCTGGTACTGTAATTTAGACAGAACTTCTAACAAAATTTTCACTTTTATATTTCGCCTTGGGATGGAACATTCTGCAACATGAAATCTTACCGCATTTCTCAGTTTCTCTGCAAATATTTACTATTTCCTCTGCAAGCACAATTAAACCACCATTGTTCTTCCTCTGCAAAAAATCTGAGTACCTCAATGGTTCCGTACTGTACACTGTATTCACACAGGTGCTGTAATGGATTTGTTTCACTAAAGCCTTCACAACAAAGCCTGCCATATACACAATAACATTTTTGCTGTACTCCCTTAAAGTAGGCATTGTAAAATATATGCATTAAAGTAGGCATTATATATAAAATCATGTTCACTACATACATTTACACTTTCTTCCTCTTCTTCAAATCATCTTCTGTTGAACAAGGCGATCAGGACCTGCCAATTTTGCACTTATCTTCCAAGGCAGTAGAGCGTCTCATCTTGTGCCTCAGTTACCAATGACCTTGCATTTTACAGTTATTCACCTATAACTGCTTGTATGCAGCCTTGAATTGCATAAATGTAGGGTTATTGTTTCCTCCTAATCGTGACCTAACTAAAGAAAAGAACATTTCCAAGTGGTCTTGTGAAAGCTTGTAAGTTTATAAATACTTCAACTCCCCTTTCTCCACAAGGTCACAAAATAACCCTCTTAAAGAATGGCACATTAAAACAGGAGTATTTCTCTTGGTTTTAGAGAGTTCTTTACTCAAATTGTCTTTGAGATTAACTAAATAATCTTCCATTTTTCTTTAGAAGGGGTACCATTCTTCCAGATTTTGCGACGATAAAGGGGCCATATACCCTTTAACAAATGGCCCTTTTGAGTTGCACACATCAAACAACTTTTCCATTAGCATACAAAACTCTGCAGTTGCCTCAGCTCCTTGAAAATCAGGATGCTTTAAATCCAGGATAATCCTGGATATAGCATCCAGGTATAGAAATGCCTTGCCAACTGAGGAACTTAAAACTTGAACAGCCAAATTAACTTTCATCTTTTGCTGCTGGAAATTAAGGTGCATTAATTTAAGTTTATTGGCTAAATGAAGACCTTTTTTCTGAATGTCGTGGAGTTTGTTGATATATTCCCATGAAATATTTCTTCACTTGTCATCCTTAATTTGCCTCATTGACCCAAAAGCATTTTGCATAAGTTTAATTAGATGACAAGCATCTAAAATGAAATACACAATTTCTCCTGTCACTGGGTGAGCAAAATAAGGTTTCATAGCCTCAACTGAAATGTTTCAACCTAACTGTTTTGCCATTGAAATGTTGCTTTGAAGCCCATCACATCACAGCTACAACATTAATATTAACATCCTGCAACATTTTCAACAACATACAAACTATTTTTATTCAGTTGCAGTAAGGGAACTTGTTAAAAAATAACCAATAGGTAATTTCCAATAGTCATTAATGGCTACTACCATGAGGACAAGAGCATCTTGAGCTTCCTGCCCTTCTACACCAGAAGGTGTAAGAACTGGCCCAAAATCAACAAACACAACAAACTTATTCCCATCCCAACTCACATGCTTTTTTATTCGCATTTCATCAAAAATCAAACAATAAAAATCTGTTGTAGATTTTACAACTTTCTCTCTGAGAACAGAAAAAGCCTCCAAGGTAAATCCTGGCAACCCTTCTACAGTATTATACCACCTCCGTAGTGTTGACCAATGTGGTAAAATTTTATTGAATGTGTTTCGGAAAAATCTATATGCTGCCGGAAAGTTCAAAGTGAGGGCAAGTCCTTTAAAGTTTCACTATATTGTTGGGATTTGTATGATACACGTCCCATTATTTCTAAAAACACATCTGCATGGCATGTTACTAACACAGGTGCAATGTCATTAATTCTTTCTCTTTGAGAGATTGCAATAAATCTTCTAATTCATTAATTTTTCTTCCCTTCTGGCACATTTTTCTGAAACTACTTTGAGGGCACACCTAAACCTGTCTACCTGGTCATTCTTCCTTTTAAGAACAACCCCATATTTTCCTTTCATCTTTGTTAGACTCTGATTAGTTGCATAATTGTGTTCATTCACTGAAATATTCTCACTTCTCTCAGGCACATGTGAATCACTATTTAAATTTTCTTCATTACTTCCCTTTACCATTCTTCTCACACTTGTGTGCTGCAATACAAGAAAGAAAGAATACACTACCCAGACGTTTACGAATATAAGAACATAGTGACATGCCCATTAAATATTAAAATGAATTTACAAATATAAATTGAGAGAGAATATCTCACATATATTAGAATATATACAAAATCTGTCACAAAGTGAACAGATGTAAATACAATCTACAAATATCACATTGCAAATAAAGACAATAAGGACCAATTGATATTTAAGTTACAAGTAAAAGTTTCACAATGTTCATCATACACATTACATGAACATTGCCTTGTTCTATTAACCTTCATAAGATGAGGAGGAAAGTCAAAAATTGAGGGCATAGCATCATCTTTGAGTCGACGTCGATTAACGTAGAGAGCAAAAACAGCTTTCCTCAAAATGTGCCGAACAAATCCGATGGAAAGCAGAAGGATGGAAATTCATCACTGGTTTTATCCACTTCAAGCACAATTCTTCATTAGAAATGCGAAACCTGTATGTTTAGAGTCATATAGTGCAAATAAATCTTTTATGACGATCACAACCATTTACATCTATTTTACCCGCTCTATTTGTACAATTATACGCACAACATAATATTACCATTATAACTGTAATATATACCAATATAAATAAATAAATTACAATGATAAGGCCCACAGGATGCTTGTGAGGTAATAAACTGGCAGTCAAGTTTAAGGACGTTACCTATTCATAAATACATGGTCATGCAGTAATTTATCAACGTGCAACAGAATTTACCTTTTCAAAATTCCTTAGAATGAATTAAAATTAATCTCGCACCTCATACGTATTCAGAGAGTATACGTACGTATCCTTAAACACTTTAAAAAACCACTCACGCTCAGCTCGCGCTAATTCGCAGTTAACAGCTGATAGCTTTTGCCAACCTAATGGTGGTGACGGACCTCTTCAATTTGGGAGTGGAACAGTGACGCTCATGGCACATCTAGCGTCTTCTTAAGATACTATATCTATGTCAAT